TCTGTGTGGCAAAGTTCCTTTTCAAGTGGCCTCTTTTTCTTTGCAAGTGTCCATAAGGATGAAGATTTATTTTTTGTTATTAAAAATTTTTTTTTAAATGTTTATTTATTTTTGAGAGACAGAGCGTGAGCAGGGGAGGGACAGAGAGAGAGAGAATCCCAAGCAGGCTTCAGGCTATGAGCTGTCAGCACAGAGCCCTTTGTGGGGCTCAAACTCAGGAACCAGAAGATTATGACCTGAGCCAAAGTCGGACGCTTAACCGACTAAGCCACCCGGGTGCCCCCACATTTATTTTTATGTAAGAGCTAGAATGAGTGGGATTACACAGCAGGCTAATGGTGCTGTGAGAAACAAGGGCTGAGGTGGGCTACTCACAGCCTGTGAAACATAGAAAGCTGCACCAGCGTTCCCACTGGGCCCCGCCTGTCTCCTGACTTCTGATAGGGTGCTGGTGTCCCATGTTTGTTCCTGCTGGCTGGGCTCTCGTGCCCTGGGAATGGGGTACATCTGCCTGCCTCAAAGGTCACTGTGTTCTGATGGGATCCTCAGAGCAGCAGGGGTATTAGTTATAAATATATGTGGTGATTGCCTAACATTTCACAGCTCTATAATCTGGTCAGTATTTACTCTCAGAAATGGACGTTAGTTACCTACTGTTCTCTGCTAAAAGTGAGTTTGTTTCTTTTGCTTTTGAAATAGGCTTCAAAATGAGCAGAATCACGCCAAACCCCTAAGGGTTACTCTTCTTAGTGATTAGTAAGGATTTATTAGAGAAGCATGCACTCCAGACGTCACAATCTCAGAGCTTATGACCTGCTTCGGCCTGGGATTATGAAAGGTTTGGGCCGAATATTGTGCTTGTGTTCAAAGTAGTTCCCATCCTGTAAAAACAAAGGGTTAAAAAGTTCCTCAGTGGAAGATAGTTTTTGTGGTTTTTTTTTTTTTTTTTTTTTTTTTTTTTTTTTTTTTTTTAGATAAAAGTAAATGAATGATAACTGCACAGAGAAGATTATTTACCACCAAATATTGACATGACTAAGAAGGGGGATGATGGAAACGAGCGATTTCTTCACTTTAAGCATCTGTTCACTAAATGTTCAGGAACTGGCAGACTGGACTCCAGAACATTCTGGATCTGTTCTAGACGCTTGTCTTTAAACTAAACATCTGACTGTGCCTTCAGGAAAGTAAAAATAAAACAGCAAGAGCTGGACTTTGGAAAGGAAAAGAAACCGTACTATCACTGTTAAGAGCATGGTGGCCGGAAGGCAAGTCATGATACTTACTTTTGAGGTGAACTAGGAATGAGACCCCGCAGCTGTCCGTGAAGCGCGTCTTGTATATTGCTAGTTGAATAGAGCCCAATGGGTGAGTTATAGGAAGCGCTCACTACCTGTCTTTTGTCATCAATGTTTGCTGCTGCAACGAAAGGTTGGGCCCTTCTGTTGTGCGCGGTACCAATGGGTTTGAACTCCTGTACAATGGCAGACAAGATACACAGAGCCACAGAACGCACAACAAAGCCATTAATGAGCAAACCTAGAGCATCGCTGTTGTTAATCAAGGCTTCTTCACCCCACTGCAAGATTAACGGCAAGGTTAAAGGAGGAGTTACGCATAAACCTTTCTACATTTTCTGTGAAATTTGCATGTGCTGTATTCAGCCACGTTTAAGGTGCAGATGAATTGACCTTATTTAAAATATCATAAAAGAATTAGAATGTTATTCTTTTTGTTTAGCCCTACTGACTTTCACGGCTGTAGTTGTTAAGAAATTCTCATATGACTCATTTGGATACTGAAATTCGATGTCAGAAATGAGATTTGTGGCTTAGAAGAATTATCACAGTTAACTTTTTCTCAAGAAGAACTTATATACACTTTCTCTTCTATGAATATCTTATTACAGCTTCCTCCATTTTAGGAAAAGGAGGGGCAAAACAATCAGAGAGAGGGAGCATTTATGAATACTTATACCGAATCATTTTAACTAATCCAAGTAAAAGTTTTATTTTTTCTTTATGTCTACCACAAAAAAATTCTTATTTTGCATTATGTTCTAACTTTAAATTTAGAACAAATAATAGGCATTAAAAGACTATTTTTTCCTTATGAGAGCAGGGATACCATGTATATGGAAACTTTCTTTTCTTTTCTTTCCTTTTTTTTTTTTTTTTTGGTGATGATTGCACGTTGTGTGTTTAAAGAACTTTTCATGTTTCTTTTAGTCCCAGAAGGACTAAAGTCAACAATTCAGATAGCTAATGTATAAGACTCACAAGAGGATCTCCACTTTATTGCTTGGAGAAAAGGATCAAACATCCGAGTCCCAAACTCTGAAACATGCCTGAATGATCGGAAACTCTATGTTATTATTTTTTTAATGTAGGAATCCGGTTTTCCAATTTTTACAGAGATTTGTAATTTCGTAGAGTCATTAAATAGCTTTTTCTCCTAAGCGACAGAAGAAAACCAGGAGGGAAGGCTAAAATATACACAAGCTGCTTCTCTTTCCAGATCTTTTCATTTGGCAGAATCAGTGAGATAAATCTTTCCAATATTTTCACTCACGCATTCACATCGACTTCACTTACTTTGGTGAATGTGCCACCAATTTTTCACGCAGATTTCAACTAGCACAAACATTTATGATTCTTTGAAATGTTACTGAACGGAGGCTGTTTTTATTAAAAAAAAAACCAAGAAGGTCTTGTAATATTCTTGCTCATGTCATTTTTTTCTCTTCTTGTCATTACAAATGAGTAAATCGTGGGATGGTGCTTTTTTTGGTTGTTGTTAGAAAAAGAGACTGTCTTCGTTTCTTAGGGGAGGAACCAGAGTTTTGCACAGAGATTCTTGTGCTTGAGAACATACCGACAGCTTCCTTTAGGGACCCACGCCACATGATGCTTCGGTGTTTTGATTCTGAGCAGCCACTCTTCACACGAAGTCCCTATTCCCCCATCTAGGTTTCTTGGAAAAGTTCACTTAAAATTTGAATAGTTGTAACAGGTGAATGGGGTGCAGCTTCAAATACTAGCTGTACTGAGTCTGTGACTCCAGCTACCCCAAATCTCCTGGCGCCTGAAAATCGGGGATGTGGTAGAGACTTTTCTCTCATCAACCTTGGGCCGCGTATTATAATAGCCTCTTAAACTGGAGAAGGTCTGAGTTGAATACAATAGGCTGTGATCCTCTAGTGTGATTGGATTGACTGGCATCTCACTGATTCATTATTTTTACCTCCAGAATAATGGCTCACTGCCTAGGAGTTCGTTGGGGGACAGTAGGGTTGCTGCTGTTAGGCAGCAGAATGACTGAAATCACCAACTGTGGCTTTAGAAAAATGCTGAGTCCCAGAATATGGGAAAATGTGTGTAGTCACACATTTATACAGTGCTACCATCTGATTGTTTTGGCTGATTTAATGATGAATTCTGCTTGTTTTGTTTTTTTTTTTTTTATGATTTCTGATTAGCCATTATTATGGCAGGAAAAAAGTGAATTGGAAATAATTGTAGGTAATGCCAGTGGTGATGATTCAAGCCTTTGTTACTCTTTTTGAAATGAAAGAAGAAGGCTAATTGCCTCATTTAGTTTTGGTAAATTATTAATTTCTCAGGCTAATTAAAAGAGTGAATCAGGCAGAACTGAAGGACTCAAGCTTTGTGGAATTTTTCTTTTAACAAAGTATGATACGCCTTAAAGATCTTGATAAATAGAATTGAATTTATAAAAATTAGTTAATGTAATATGATGGTTTTATGGGGGAAAAAGTCGCTGCCCTTATTTCTTCTTAGTCTTAAAATGATTAATAAACATGGGTGGTGATTGTCCTGTAAATGAGGCATCTTCACTGAAAATATTTGTGCACTAATAATTTCTAGTAGTGCTTCCGAAAAGCAGCATTTGAGTTAATCAGCTCCAACCTTTTTATTTGCTTTCAGTTTTGGTTATATATTGCAAAGGTCATAAATGTGTAATTTGTTAAAATAAAAAAAAAAACCTTACTTTCTGCACATAATCATAAGAGGATATAAAAGAATATAGGCTTCAATCTAATATAGGCTTCAAACATTTGTATTTAGGCTTTGCAAAGCGTTAGTTTATGGGCTGCTAGAGTCATTCCAGAAAAGCACAATGAAGTTGTATACATCAAAGGTAAACAAATTTAAGTATGGCACGGGGAGGCAACATTGTATCCAAGTCTTCCATCCTTGTTGATGGTCAAACAGAATCAAAAGACAAAGCCAATGAGAAGTTTGGTATCCCACATTAATTTCTTTTTACATTTTCTGGAAAATCATTCGTAACAGTAATACCGTAAAAAATTATACAGCAGTCAATACAGTCCAGCTCTTGTGTTTATTTTACCCAGACAAAAGCATCCAAATGATTCTCATCTCTTAGGAATTCAATAAGTAACCACTGCAGTTAATGAATGCATTTTAAATGTCATTTTTAAATATTAGGAGCTTATTCTAAGGAATAATAGTTTGAATTAATAAAGTGCTAGCGCCGACAGAGTAAAAGCTAGGCAACTAGATGGAGACTTGCTGATATTGGGGAGAATGCAGCTGGTGACAACAATCTCCAAGCCCTTAGGATGACCTCAGCAGTGACAGCATTCCAAGACAGTTGCACCTTTCAACTTCCTACTTGAAGAAGTTGTCCATAGATAAAGATTCAGCCCAAGAACTGAGGCTATTACCAGCTCCAAAAGAAACAACATGTTTCATGGTACATACATAGAGGTATGTATGTACTTACTAAAAAAAGTGGTGGGGAGATAAGGAAAACAAGGGATCATACCTTCGATCAAGGCACGCTGAAGAAATAATGGTATTTTGTCATATTTGGGATTTATGAACAATCACCACCTGACCTCATGCTCACCCCTCAAAAGAAAAATAGTCACCCCTGCAAATTTTTTTCAGTGATCTGTTTCAAGTGTTTCCCGCATGTAGTAGGGAACAGTTTGGGGATTAAGAAAGCTTGTTTTGAATGGGCCGCCTTCCAGTCATCACAAAATTGTAGACAAATCTATCTTTTGAAAATATAAACAACTCCAACCCATACCTCACTTGCTTGTGTGTATAGTTCCTATACATCTTTATTATCAGATCTTCTAGGGCCAAGGATGCAATTCTTTTATGGAGACAGAAACAGTTATCTTCTCATTTAGAAATGAATGATGTTTGCTTCTGAAAAGCATCTTTCCTGTGTTGTGATAGCTACATTATAATTTTGAGTTGTTCAACTAACACTAAACAAAGATAAGCATAATGTCTTATTTGAGAATGCCGGCTTTGAAGGACACAGACCTCTAACAACATACCATTAGCCTACAGCTAATATATAATGCTAATATAATGCTTTGTATAGGAAAATGCATATCTGCTCCCAGGCCATGTTCAGTGTGGATGGAAGGCTTTTATTCAATGGCTGCGGGTTGATCTAAACAACTTCTAAGGTTCTTTTTAAGTCTAAGATTCAAGTCTAAATTCAAAAAAACAAAATTTAACTATTTAATAATAGCATGAACAAATGAAAAAAAAAACTAGGCATTAATATTTCATGTCAGTTGTTACTATAACTGTAAAAGGAAAGTCCCCAAAGCCTGAATCTATGCATAGGGAAAAGACTGGAAATAAATACACTAACATTTTCTTAATTGTGGCAGGGCTTGTGTGGTAGGATGTAATTTTTTTCCCCCTCAATGAATATATATTACTTTTAATTTTTTTAACGTTTATTCATTTTTTGATAGAGCTAAAGCGTGAGTGGGGGAGGGGCAGAGAAAGAGGGAGACACAGATCTGAAGCAGGCTCCAGGCTCCGAGCTGTCAGCACAGAGCCAGCCCGACGCAGGGCTCGAACTCACGGACCGTGAGATCATGACCTGAGCTGAAGTCGGACACTTAACCGACTGAGCCACCCAGGCGCCCCGAATATACATTACTTTTAAAATGAAAAGTATTTTATTCTAATAGCCAAGGTCACAGAATTTACAGTGAAAGTTTCACTTGGCTTGAGAAATAAGAACTCAAATACTGTTTTGCTCGATGGCATTTTCTACTCATCTACAGCGGCGTCTTGAAGCATGATACATCAACAGCATTTATTTCTCAGACAGACACATCTTTGTTGTCCATAAAGTTGCCTTAGTTGCAGAGTTCCTATTTTGGGTGTGTGCGTGGGGGGAAGACCTCTCTTTGCAAGACATCGTTTTGCATGGCGTCGTGTTAATTAAAAAAATAAAATAAGAAGACAAACATAACCTCCGTTTAGCTTTCCTCCACACTCATGCTCCAAGTTAAACTCACTGCTTATCATTTTCTTTCAATCATTGCATTTTGTTCAGTTTATGCTTTGGCGTTTCAGATCGCAGGGGTTGTGCTAAAGCTGAGCTATGTTTGTAGGGAATGTCCGTCCTGAAGTGCCAAGTTACGTGAACCGATCATGCAGAAATCTGGCCTGAGGATCATCAGGGTAGGAGGCCTCTGGCCCATTAAGGGAAGAACTGAAATGGTTCTTATCTCTGAGACCTTCGAACACCGAACACCGGCCTCCCTGAGAGGGTGCCAGTAAGAATGAGCCATGACTCAAAGTAAAGGAATGTTCAGAGGCTCCATCTGACTGGCTTCTGGAGCCTTTAACCCAAGCTTCACCTTTCGTTCTTTTTTTTTTAAACCTATCTCATTCTCTATGTTTCCCCCATTTGTGCTGTCCTAAATATCCATATTGCTTAACCCCAAGATGTAGGACACATGCACTAATATATGATTGAGGAGAGGCCAGAGTATTTAAAATTAGGGTTATTTTATTTTATTTTTTTTAATTTTTTTTTCAACGTTTTTTATTTATTTTTGGGACAGAGAGAGACAGAGCATGAACGGGGGAGGGGCAGAGAGAGAGGGAGACACAGAATCGGAAACAGGCTCCAGGCTCTGAGCCATCAGCCCAGAGCCCGACGCGGGGCTCGAACTCACGGACCGCGAGATCGTGACGTGGCTGAAGTCGGACGCTTAACCGACTGTGCCACCCAGGCGCCCCAATTAGGGTTATTTTAAAAAGTCCAGTTTTTGTAATAATTATGGTCATAAATTCAAACTTGTAGATTTATAAAAGGGGCTTCTTCTAGAACGAAAACTCAGACAATTTCCCTTAAACTCCACTTCTGGACAGATGTTAGCAAAACACAGCCTCCCATTTTGGTCTGAGCTCAGCCTGTGCTTACTAAATACTTGCTGAGGCACCCGCATGCCAGAGCAGGTACTGCGACATGGTGAGGGATCACTGGGGATTTGGTACTTTGGTCGTATCTATTTTTTTTTTATTAATTTTTAAAAATGTTTATGTATTTTTGAAAGAGAGGTTACAAGTGGAAAAGGGGCACAGAGAGAGAGAGAGAGAGGATCTGAAGCAGGCTCTGCCCTGAAAGCAGAGAGCCCGACGTAGGGCTCCAACTCACAAACCGTGAGATTATGACCTGAGCTGAAGTCGGATGCTCCACCGAGGGAGTCAACAGGTGCCCCTGACCCCATATCTTAGCAGCTCGTATTGGTGAGATCAGATTTTAAACATTAGGAGAAGTCTGGAATGGGAAATTAATTTGCGGAAGGGTGCAGTACAATTTTGGATGTGTACTATATACGGAAAAGGAAATTCAGAATTTTATCCATTTCGTCCTGGTGACAATAAGAGATTGGGTGGTCAATAAATGCATATGTGTGAGCCTTAAACTTTCCTTTCTTTCTGTTGCTTTTTAAAGTACCACATGATCTCTTTTTCTCATGTGTTGCCTCTAAGGGATGAACTGGAGGTGGGACAACGCTCAGGCATTCCTGCAAAGGACTATCTACAAGCGACGGCTCCGCCTGGGAACCTTGTTTTTTCCTCCTGCAGTCTTGTCTTCTATCTAAGGTAATGTTGATGACAGGTATTATTCTTCACCAATCCACCTCGGAGGCCAGGGGCTAAGCCACCACCAGCATTCAGATCCCTTCTCTGAAGAGCTGAGCTCTCGCCTGACCTAAATCGCATTCAACTTGCATGACCACTTTTACCCTGCAGCTGCCGGGGCTGGGGGCAGCCAAGCACCATTCTGAGAATTGGTTCCCAGGTTTGGTCCCGGGCGGTGGTAGAAGAGGCAGTTTATCCATTTCCTTTCATTCATTTGTCAGGTATTTATTGAGCGCTTGCTGTGTGCTCTGCCCGGGAGGCTCAGAGTAAAGAGAACAGACACAGCAGTCCTCACCTTCATGGATAGCCCAGATCACGCTCCCTGCCTTTGGGGCCTGTTTTCTCCTCCTTTGCTCTTAATGATTTTTAGGCTCAGGCTCTTCCTTTCTTCCAGTCAAAGGTCTAGGGCAAGGATCTAATAAACTCATGCTCTCCAAAGGTTAAACGACTCAGGATGTTTCTTCTCCTGGGGGGATTGTATTTGAACTGAAAACAAAGTTTTAATCCAAAGCAGTTTGTAATGACCCTTGTAATGGTGATGTGGAAGGCAGTCCTGGTGTCTAGGAGGTCCTATCGCGTGGGCAGCTCCCATCTCACTGTCAGGAGAGGCCAGAGGCCTTCTGATCAGAGCCTGGTGGGAGGCGGGTACCATACCAGTCCCACCAAGAGCTCCCACTAAATTGAAATCTCTATAAACAATTCGATGTGCCAAGTTCTTTTTCTATAGTGTTTTATTTAGGTCTTTGAGAAGCCCTATGAGACACAGGTACACGTTACTCTGAATGTGTTTTTACCGAGGAGAAAATGGAGGCTTATGAAGAAAGTGGAAAACTGGAAGGGACAAATGCAGGAGTTGATCCTGAAAAGGCAGATGTTGCTAAAGCATAAATTACAAATATGTTTTCAATGCATTTGCAGCAGTTATATAGGAAAACTACAGTTTGGGAATATTTAATCAGTTTAGTAGGAATACTTGTTTAAAAAGGGATACCCAGGGATGCCCGGATGGCTCAGTCGGTTGGGCGTCCAACTTCGCTCAGGTCATGATCTCATGATCCGTGGGTTCGAGCCCAGCATCGGGCTCTGTGCGGATAGCTCGGATCCTGGAGCCTGCTTCGGATTCTGTGTCTGTCTCCCTCTCTCTCTGCCCCTCCCCTGCTCACGCTCTGTCTCTCTCTGTCTCTCAAAAATGAATAAACATTAAAAAAATTTTTTAAAAAGGGATACCCAGTTTATGTAGCTGTCTCTCTAAACTTGGGAAACCTCTGGCAAAGGAGAGGTTCTAAAATCCTTTCCTTAATTACATTTTGCATACAGCACGATTGAGGGTCAGTTTAATTTCAGTGTTTTTGGAGCTTTTGAAAATAGACATGGCCAGATAGGCATCAGATTATTAGATTAATTTAGCTCATTAGAATTGCCTCAAGGAAAAATCCTCTGTCTTTTGTAATTCTCCTGCATGGGCAGAATATCACCATGATTACATAATGCAAACCCTTTTTTGTCGAGTAAACTTAATTATAGAACTCCAGAACTGAGAATTAAAGAAGAATGTAAAATAAAATCTGGGTGAAGACCTGGAAGAATTGAAGTTCACAATAATTATTAAATTAGAGACACCTGTTTCAAATGCTAGCCCCTAATTTTGTTTAGCTTTGTTTTAACATTTTAAACTTCTTGGATTATGTCATGGTCATATGGCAGAAGTCCATCAAAAAGAATGAAAAAATAAGTGGACTGTACATAGATACAGCCAAATTTTTCCAGAGAACATATCTATCTTTTAACAAGGTGCTTGTCTGGGCATACTTCTTTTTTTTCCTGATGGAAAAAGCACATGGGTAATATAAATTAATCTCACAGAGTAAAGACAGACAATGGCTCCATCAGGTGGCTCATTCTAAGTTTTTTGTATTTGCCACTTCTTCCTCTTGGAAGGTGTCCACATCATTTAAAAGGAAATAGAATGTGAATATCATTTACTCTAAAATTCATACCTGTGGTTCTGATTCCAAGTTGATTTTGAAAGGATGAGCCTTCCCATCTTCAGATACCTGTGGAGACCATAAGCGAGTTTCTGCCCTGTAAATAAAAGAAATTCTGTAAGCTCCAAATTCTAATGGTACTTTCAGTTATAGTATACTTTAATCTCCCATAATATTTATCGAGATACTATCAAACCTTGATAGTTTAAGCAAAAGCAATGTTCCCTGGTCATTATTCTGTATTCTCCCATCTAATTAGTTTTTTGCATCCTTTTGGGGAAACTTGAGTGGATAAAAATTGCATGGAGGACTACTATACACTGAAGTTTGGGTCCCCCCCCCCACAAGTCCCCGTGTTGAAGCCCCAGGCCCCAGTGTGATGGTATTTGTAGGTGAGGTCTCTGGGAGGTAATTAGGATTAGAGTAGGTCATGAGGGTAGAGCTGTCATGATAGGATCAATGTCCTTACATAAAGAGGAAGAGATCTGAGATCTCTCGTCTCTGTGTGCATGCACCAAGAAAGGCCATGTGAGGATATAATCAGGAACCTGACCGTGCTGGCACCCTGGTCTCAGACTTCTAGCCTCTAGAACTGTGAGAAATAAATTTTTGTTGTTTAAGCCACCCAGTCTATGGTATTTTTGTTACAAGAGCCTGAACGAAGGAAAAGACATTGTACAGTTTCTGGAGAAAGTAGGTTGGCAGTACCTGCAGGGAACAGTACAGGAGAGGAAGACCCTGGAGGCAGAGGACCACAGGGCAAATGCTCTAGGTTTCCCTCCTTCCCTCCTTCCTACCCAGGCCACTGCAGGAGACACTGAGTGGTCTGCCAGGGGGATTTACCGTTGGCATCAAGGAAATGAGCTTTGTCCAATCTCATGTCCTTCTCATGTATCTGTTTGGGACCATGTGCTCCTAAGGGACTGTGTGCTTGGCAGGAACACAGGTCGTGGGTAAATAGGAAAAGAGTCAATCTCACCCCTGAAATGGCAATTGGCTGATTGATTGTGCCTTCTGAACCACAGCAGGGAAAGTTGGGAATACAATAACAGCAGGATAAACACACAGTAACAACCACTATTTAATGTGAAAACATTATTTTCACAATGGGCTATGGCAAGAGATCAGGTTCAATTTCCAATTTTTTTTTTTTTTTTTTTGTTGTTGTTGTTAGAAATGTCTCATTCTCTAACGCTCTCACTCCACAGGCACTCTTATACTTGGTCAGATTCTTCTGGGCTGAATTCTGTACAAAACAGCCAATGGCATACAGGGTATTAGCAACTGGTTTTCAACATGATCCCATTTTGGTAAGTCAAGAGATTCTTCTGGAGAATCTTTAAATTCCATCCCATTCTCTACTGCATTTAGAACAACAGTACAAGTAGCTGTCCCATACATTGTTTCTGTGGCCAGTACCTTTAATGGTGCTATTAACAGGAAAAAGAATTCTTTTAGCCTCTTTCGTTATTGTGACATTCCAAAGAATTCTTTTCAGAAATAGTTTGTTAGCAACTACTAGGCTGACTGACATCAGTGAAGAACAGACCAAAGTGGCTGATATGTTTAAAAAAAGCCAGTCAAAATTCTAGGCCCTGTGACACTCCTTTGCACTGGGAGGATGAAATCATTTCTAGTTCTAGTTCAGGTTCTCCTGCAAAACAGATCACATTTTAACACCATTAATTAAAGAGCACCTGTCAATTTTGAGGCACAGCTGGTGGCCTGCTGCTTTAATCCTGTCCTGTGCATCCGCGTGAGTCATGGACTCTGTACCAAAGCCATCAATAGCCAGGATGACATCTCCCGGACACAGGTGGGCAGCTGCCGCCTTGCTTCCTGGAGTAATCTGGAAGAAATCATGGCATCATTTAAAAACCAACATTCCGCACTATCTTGAGTTTTGTGACTGACATTTATATTTTCAGCTTGGTAACATTTTAAATGTTTCACTGGGCAGGGACTTTTATTTTTTTTATTTTTTTAATTTTTTAATATATGAAATTTATTGTCAAATTGGTTTCCATACGCACCCAGTGCTCATCCCAAAAGGTGCCCTCCTCAATACCCATCACCCACCCTCCCCTCCCTCCCACCCCCCATCAACCCTCAGTTTGTTCTCAGTTTTTAAGAGTCTCTTATGGTTTGGCTCTCTTCCACTCTAACCTCTTTTTTTTTTTTTTTCCTTCCCCTCCTGCAAGGGTTTCTGTTAAGTTTCTCAGGATCTGCATAAGAGTGAAAACATATGGTATCTGTCTTTCTCTGTATGGCTTATTTCCCTTAGCATCACACTCTCCAGTTCCATCCACGTTGCTACAAAGGGCCATATTTCATTCTTTCTCATTGCCACGTAGTACTCCATTGTGTATATAAACCACAATTTCTTTAACCATTCATCAGTTGATGGACATTTAGGCTCTTTCCACAATTTGGCTATTGTTGAGAGTGCTGCTATAAACATTGGGGTACAAGCTGGGCAGGGAATTTTAAATCTAACTTAAAATAACTCTTAATTGGTCAATTGTGTTAGCTCTATTTTTCCACCATGCTAAATATTTTTGTTTTTTACTAATTACATGTCATCTATAATGACCTCTCTTATTCTCTTTTAAAACATCTTCCTTAAATCCCTGCTTGAATCATATTTTCTTTGCTTTAAACTAAACAGTTCATTCTTTAGGTATTATTTCACCCATAACTCTCTATTTGGGAATACAACTCCCCCAAATTAGGGAGCTTTTATATTTGAATTGAAACTACTGTAGCATCCCTGTAAGTAATGATCTTTGAAATTCACATGAAGGGGGATCTAGGCTATAGAAAGCTAGAAAGAGAATGACTCCTGCATTAATAAGAAGAAGGCATATAATATACAAAATTATAACCTTTAATGAACTATTCAGAGAGCTAAAGCTGCAAGGCAACCAACTGGCCTGGGATCCAAGGAAAGACAGGTGCCTCCACGGAAAGTAAGCAACTCGTATCACTGTATCAGAGCATAGAGGAACATGGGACCACCATTTTAGCCATAAAGAAGAATTCAGCCAAAATTATGAACAAATTACTAAAGTTAGCATTGAGATTCGAGAACCCTTGGGGATGGCAGACACAGGGAAGTTTGCATCCATAAACAATCTCTTCTCCATGAATGAAAAACAGATTGAACAAATAAAAACAACTAACAAGATGCTAAATTTTAATTGAACCTTATCAGTAATTACATTAAATGTAAATGGTCTAACCATATTCTGATATTTTAACAGCGATTGTCAAACTAGGTAAAAAAAAATATCCAGTATTATGCTGTCTACAAGAAACCCACATGGATTTCTTTTTTGGGAGGGTGGGCTGGGGGGGAGGGGGGGATGAAAGGAATACTTAATGGGAAACATATGGTTATTAAATGTTTAAAAGATAGCAAATTTGAAATTATTACCATGTTGAGTATTCAGTGTTTGATTGCTATACCTACTCCTAATCTTTCTGGGTAAATCCCAATTATTTACAACCACCTAATAGTCCTTACCTGGTCTTATCCTACCTACTTCTTTCTCTAACATCATCTTATACCATTCCTGCTCCCATCACCCATTGTGCTGTAGCTATTGCAGTTTCCTTTTAGTTCCTCAAATAGGGCAAGTGTGTACCCTCTTCAGGGCTTCACATGCACTGTTCTTTTTGCCCAAAGTGTTTCCCCCACTCTTCACCCAGTTGCTTCTCCTCATCCTTTAGGTCTAGACTTAAATATCACATTCTCAAAGAGACTTCCCCAAACATCTGAAGTAGCTTCTCCAGACCCTCCCCCATCATTCTCCACCATTACATTTTATTCACTTCCTTCCTGAAGACAATTTGTTTTTTAATGTTTGTTTATTTACTTGTGTATTGTCTTGGCAACCAGACTGGAAGTTCTTGAGAATATCTATAGTAGCATGTATATTTCTAATACATTGCAGTGTATATTCCAGTGTTTAGAATTAATGGATAATTAAAAATGAAGAAGTGGATATTTAAATAAGCTCATGGAACAAAAAGACCTACTCTCTACAGAACCAAAGATTATAGCTATTAATGTCAACCCATCATTGTTACATCTGCAAATTTCCACTGTTTACAGCAGAAGAATGCATAGGACTTGACTTAAACCTCTAGCTGCTCCAGGAATAAACTAGGTTGTTCTTAATATTTTACTTGAGGATAGTCATTCATTCATTTTTTTTCTCTATTTACTTAATCTAGCTATCAATTCTGTTTAACATTGTTGCTCTAAGGGATATCCAAGTTTCATCTAAATGAATAAAATTGCTGAGGTAATAAATTCTCATACTTTGAGATCTTCAGTCTCATCACTAAAATATTTGTTGTACTCACTTCAGTTCTGTGATCATGTCACTATAGTGATTGTCATCATTTTCTGATAGGAACAGTTAATAGAAGCTTGGTGAAGACAATGGGGATTATTAGATCTCAGCCTTTGGGAGACATTTCATAGCTGTTTTCCACTTGGAAATTCTCCCAGACCCAGAACTGTTAGAAGAATAAAAGTTTCCATCCCTAGTGTGACTTGCAGGGATAAAAATAATATTAAACTTTTAATTTTCTCTAGCTATAGTTTGTCAAAATCAGTACTATCTATTTTTAAACTCCTAAGACCAGAAGTCTTTTCTTTGAGTTAAAACATGTTAGAACCTGGGGTTCTTGCTTGTCATAAAGACTCCTATCATACCCTAAATGCCTGGAATCACAAATCATACACTCTAGGAGAGGAACGAGGGAATTTGTGTTTCAACAAATGCCTCGGGTGATTTCCATTATTCATATCAATGTATTGTTTGGGTCCATTTGGAAAAAAACGAATTTAAATCACAGGTAAAGCATCTATAATATTCTACTTACTGCAGGAGACAGGAGGGAAGCACAAGATATGGCCGTGGTGACACGTTTATGTTAAGAATAAAAATGATTAAAATAGTTATGAACAAGGCAAGTATATACTAAAGGGCTGTGCTGTGGGGTATGAGTCAAAATAGTGAGAGAGCCCATTGTTCAGTTGTTCTCTGTTGCCTACAAATAAACTCCAGTGCCCTACCTGGCATCTAAAGCCCTCTGGTGCCTGGCTGTAATCTACATTTCTAGGGCCATACCTCAGACCAATCACATCAGAACCTCTATACATAGCGCCTGGGCATGAGTATTTTCACAAGTTATCTGGGTAAATCTACTGTGCAGCTGGGGTTGAGAACTATTATTGGTATTGTATTACTGAGAACTATTATCTCACTGAATTCTCAAGACACTCTTTTAAGATGAGAAAACTGATGCTCTCAGAGTAGAAGAAGCTTGCTTAGGGTCACACATCCTGTGAAAATCTGTAATTCCTGGTAGGTCCAACTCTGTAGCTCAAGTTCTCTCACCATCCTACAAGGCCCCTCCTGCAGGCAGTCTTTGCCCTGACTCCTCCTACCCTTGGCCATACTTTTCGCATGGAATCCTGGACAGGCTGTGTCATAGAATCCTGGACAGGCTGTGTTATGTATGTATATGTCCCTTCTCCTATTCGAGCGTCTCAGGGGTGTAGAAACCCATTACATTATAACTGTATCCCCCACAGTGCCTTCCACATACAGTACATTCTGCAATTAATAGATATTTGTGGGATATTTGTGCAATTAATAGATATTTCTGCAATTAATAGATAATTAATAATGAATGTTATGAACATATGAACCAGCACTTCCATGCAGACATGTCTTTGGTAGAATAAAATTCAACAAGTTTTCCCATTGACCTTCCTACTGCACTTGAAATCCTGGTAAAGGACTGCATTCAACTGTAAACATTTCTTTCCAACAACTCAAATTTCAAATATAGTTTATATTGGAGTAACATACTTTTCTATGTTCAAGCCTGCAAAACTTCAGAATATAGTAACATTTTCTATATTGGTACCCAAGTCCATATAGTGTTCTCAGTTAGCCGTGATCTTGGTGGACTGTGCTCTGAATAGGAAGGAGGGAGGAGGAGGGGGAGGGAGAGGCATTGAGTGGGAAAGGACATACCAGCATCAGATGTATACAATAATTTTACATCTCATACACAAAAGAAACTTGTACTTTATTCCAAATTGGACCATTTGTGCAAACAAACCATCTGTAACTTGGCTGTGATAGCAGATCCACCTTCTGGGTGGTCCAAACATTTAAAAAAAGAAAGAAACTCCTTAGAATCTTCTTGCCAGAAAAAGAAAAGCTGCTCACTTAGAGATGTGAGCCTCAGATTTATTCTGTGAAATGCAGAGGCCAGTAATGTATGGTGTTTGCAGTAACAACCCTTCCACATACACAACGGAAATTCACATTGCACCTGGTATAGCACACCTATTGCCTACAAACTATTTTCCTACAAATTGTGCGTATCACAACCCACTGCTAATTTTTTGTCAAGAATGCCTGGAGTTTGGTTTACCTTACTTCTGATGTCTTTTATGATACAAATCAACCTGGCTGATTAATTGGATTGCCAATGATTTCTGGAGTGGGGACCCTTTGCCCTACCTAATTCTGTGAATTGTAGCATCAATTGCTAGAGAGAGTTACATTGGTAACCCCCTGCCCCAACTCTAGTGGAGTAGAGGCCCACCGTCTAGGGGCATTTGCATTTGCAGAGTGTGGAGCAAGGAGGGAAGGCCATAGCTTGCTGCAAGACAAAAGCCGATTTGACTTGAGGCACGTGTCTCATTTATAGGAATTTTGGTGGTATTAAGTTTAGGCATTGGTTTCTCAATTCTGTGCATACTCAAGAACTTATCTCACACAGACAGAACAATTAACAATAAAACAATTCTCACTTATCTTTATTGTAGAATATTTTGAGCGTACAATCTGCACCTATTGTGATAATAATAGTTACATAAAAAGTGAACAATTGAAACAATCATTCATATCATGTCTATATTCCGTGCTCCGCACCGAGTGGCCCCTAAATTTTAGAAGTTCCTGCCTTCGGGGAGCATGCAACTTGTGGGATACAGATGTACTGAAACATCTGTGGCACAAAGCATGATATAAAGGAGAGGTTGTAGGGCAAAAGCTATGGTAATCAAATGGATGAAATGCTTGTTATTACAAGAATACTATGGGAGTGGTATTTGATTGGGTTTCCATAGGCACAGAGGACAGTGGGGTAGAGTGAGGAGGAGAAATCTGGAGAAAAATGATGGGTGTAGATGTGGTAGAGAAATCTAAGTCATCCAGGGCAGTGACACAAATGCCGGTCAACCTATGCAGGGCGAGGAGGAAAGGGAGAGAGAAGGAAGAGAGAGGGAGGAAATGAAGTTGGAAACTTGAGTTGGGAAGAGGGCGGAGGCCGGGAATGTGAGCAAAGACCACACATTTTGTTCTCTCTAAACTGGTGTCGCCATTGAAGGATTTTTAAGAAGGGGGAAGAGAGGAGCCCTCCCCAAGGCAGCTGGTAGGAAGATACAGAGTGAGTCTGGGAGGGGAGACAAAGAGCTCGGTGTGAGGTCATGGAAGCTTGAAGAGGGACAGTGGTGGAAAAAAAGGGACATGGTAGATGTTAAAGATTGGGAACCAGTAGGACCAGGCGATGAAGCGGATGGTGCAAAACACCTGTTGGCAAAGATCTGCACAACAAGCAAGATTCTTCCTAAAAGTGTGGACTTCAGAATACAGGCTTTGGAGGCAGGCAGGGCTAGTGTCAAGTTCCGTCCACTTGTGATCGTCAGCAGGTTAATGAAATTCTTGAAGCTGCATTCTCTCATGTGCAAAAAGGTATCACTACTACTTCTCTTACAGGATTATTATGAGATTTAAGTGAGTTAGTGCATATAAAGGGCTAAGGAGCATGCCCAGGAAGCAAAGGAGTGCACTAACACACATACAATCATACCAATACCTGTCCGTATAAATCAAAAATGATACAAGCAATAGAATTTTACTGGTTTTTTTTTTTTTGAGATCTTTATTTATTTTTGAGGGGGAGGGGAGCAACAGAGAGAGAAGGAGACACAGGATCCAAACCGGGCTCCAGGCTCTGAGCTGTCAGCACAGAGCCTGACGAGGGGATGTGAGTTCATGACCTGAGCCGAAGTCGGATGCTCGACCGACTGAGCCACCCAGGCACCCCGAATTTTACTGTTTAATTACAACACTGATCATTCGTTTTGTGTAATACCTTTTAGTGTTGTTACAAGTGATTTTTACTGTTCTTATAATTTTAATGGAAATATTCTCAGTTAGGTGTTCACGATGGCAAAAAAGTTCAAGTGAATATATTTTCATTTACTCAATGTGAATCTGTCATGTGCATGGTTTGGGGAGCACTTGGAATACAAAATAGCTGAATTTTACCTGCTCTTCTTGAATTAAATTAATTGAAGAGAAAAGGCAGAGTCAAATGAAATAATCATTTATGGTCACGCATTGTTATTGAGCCATGTGAAAATGAGTGATACAAATTAGTAATGAATCAAAAATTCAAGTACGAATTGGCTTCCCAAATAATAATTGTCATGTCAACTACATTTGCCAATAGCTCCTGTAGTCCAGTGGCAAAATATAAGTACTGCTTTAAAATAAACGTTATTTATAATGTCAACAATGCAAAATTTCAAACATAAGATTAATCATATTGATGTGTTACATAGTAATAGCAAGATATTTCTTTATAAATCACTTAAAAGATTTTGGTGACGAAATTATTTCTTTAGTGTTTACTATGAGTTATCCTTTGTTAAGATTCAAGAGCTTATTTCCTTTCATCTAAACAAATGAAAACTGCTTCAGAAACTTTAAAAATATTTCTTAGTAGAGATAATGGAAACCGTTTTGGTTGGTAAATCCATAAAAGGCATTCATTGCTTGGCCCAGATCACTGAACCATTTTCTGCTTAATTTACTTAGGAACTTTTTTGGAGGTATGCTAAGTTTTCATGTCTCATATAAAAACACATGTCAGATGTGTTTATATGTTTTCAAACAATGTAAAACAAAGCTTGAAATGTTCCATGGTATGCGTATGTATATATGGTACATGTTGTGAGATATTTTAAAAAGACAGTGGTTCCCAAAACTCATAGATATATAAGTAAAGCAGAATTTAAAAGGTATTACCTTGTTTAAAACTCTATAGGAGTAAGTCAGATTATAAAGTATATGTTTATAAAATACACTATAAGCAGTAAAGAAGAAAACATAAGAAAAGTATAATATTCTGAAAGTTTATGCTTTTTGATTATGTTTAATATACCTTATATTGATAATTGAAGTAATAATTTTCTATTAAGACAGACACTTGTGTTAGAAAAAAAATCAACTAGACAAATCACTTATTTACTGACAGGGCAGAAATCCTGAAATTTCCTTTCTCTTTCTTTCTTTCTTTCTTTTTTTTTTTCAAATTAGACAATACTCCAGGGAATATTAAGTAAGGAAAGCTGGACTCTGATAATTAAGTATTATTTTCAGAGTTACTAGGCTGAATGTGACTTTCCATCAGGTAAACTAAACTATCTGACGGGTTTTCTTTGTAGTTTGAGTTATAAGGTGATGATTCCTAAGCCAAATTCCCAGCTTTGGAAAATATTTATTCAAAATGCCTGGAAACCTAGGAAAACACATTCATAATATTTTCCCGTCTGGGCTGATATGAGCGGTTCCAACTTGGCCGACCCAGGTTGTGCCCTGCGATCAGCGCTATGCGAAGTTTTCATCCGTAGGAGAAAAGAGCTCAGGTGCGCGTTTGGCTCTGAGGAACCACCGCCAATGTCAGTCATCCCTGCCTCCTTCCTGGGACTTCATTTCTTTTGTTGCTGAAAGCAAACAACTTTCTGCTCTGTTCGAGAGCAGAAGCCCCCACGCCCCCACCCCTCGCAGCCTAGCCTTCTCGGAGCCCAGGGGAATCACGCTGTCAGTTCACCTCTCCTGGAAAGTTGCTGGGGACCGAGAGGATGCAGAGACCATAGGAGCGGACTTTGTAAATTCTCCTGAGTTGCCCTGCATCCTCCCACCTGCTTTGCCAAGTTGCTGCCGCCCCTCGAACTGTGAGCCCGAAGCGGAGGACCCACACCCAGCGCACCCGGTGCTTGCTGGCCACTCTCCGCTCCTGGGCAACCCGCCGCACGCCAGCCCCCGACTCGCAGCGAAAGAACCGAAAACACCTACCCTGGTGATGACCAAAGGCTGGTTGAAGTCTATGCCCCCCGAGAGTCTGAAGCCCCAGGGCGCGGGGCCCGGAAGAACCACGTTCTGGGGCATGGTGCTCTTGGCGTGGTGGCCTTGGCTCTCAGGGAGCAAGCGAGGGGCGCAGCGAGGGGTGGCCCTGCCCGCGGCAAGTGTCCCCGAGCAGGACAGCCACTCCGCTCCCCAGAAAGTGCCCTCGCCCCGATTGCGGCCGGGGAGCTTTATCCCCGCTCCCGAGTGACGTCACTGGCCTACCCGCGTCCCCACCCCCTCCCACCAAGGAGAGCTCCAACTTTGGAAGAAAGAGACGCGCCAGACCCGCGGGAGTTTACAGACGCGCACCGGCTGGGTGCAGCCTCCCAGACCACTCTGGCCAGCGCTGGAGGAGGCTTCGGGTTACAACCTCCAGTGGTCTCTTAAAGTAACACCTGTCCTCCTGTTTATCTTCGACGCGGAGCTCAATACTGCGCTTCATTCGGAGTTAAACGCACTTAAAGCACAGCTTCTATGCTTCCAGTGAAAATGAAACAAAAGCTTCATAAATGCAGTTAGTTGTTTAGCAATCTTGAGTGCGCTAATATTTACTTATTAGCTGTGTGACCTTGGTTAAGTTACCTAACGTCCTTAAGTCTCAGTTTCTTCATCTGTAAAATAGGAGTCATAATTGTACTTCTCTCAGAAGGTTATCTTGAGAATTAAATAAGCTACTTCTGCCTAATGCCTGGCACAGCATCAATAATTTATTAAGCATTTCTGCAATTAAGTACACATAGTCACATTTATTGATGGGTATATATGATATACATTAACATATATATACATATATTCAAAGCCTATTTTTTAAAACAAAGAAATATACAAGTGAAAATGTCACGCAAACATACTCAGTCCAGTGAGCACTTAAAAGTACACGTGAGAGGGTATAAAAGTATACGTGAGCACCTGGGTGGCTCAGTCGGTTAAGCCCCCTACCTTGGCTCAAGTCATGATTTCATGGTTCATGGGATCGATCCCTCTGTAGGGCTCTGTGCTCACAGTGCAGACTGCCCTTTCCCCACTCGCTCTCGAAAATAAATATTTAAGAGTATACACGAGAAGATGATTCATCACTATACTGAAAATATAGTTTAATTTTGACTGGAGCAGTTGTCAACTCCCTCAAATGAAGTCTCTACACTTATTTTTTGACACACGTAGGAGGTGAGTATAATAGAAACCTGGGAATTGAGAGTGTCCTGTGTGGGCTTTGCAGCCAGAGTGAGGGTGCTGAGTGGAGTGCCGTGGATCAAGAGGATCCCCAAGCCAGATGAAACTGCATGGAGGAAAAGGGGGGACAAACCTTCATGGAATATCACCAGGGTTCAGGTGCTGTAGTGATTGCTGTACTTACTTCGTCCTCAGGCCGAATCCATTAGAAGGTTCTTATAATTCCTTTTCTTTTTTTTAGGTAAGAACATGTCTTAGAAGTTGAGTAACTTGTGTAAGATCACAAACCCAGGTCCGCCTGCCACCGTTGTCTGCCTGGTGTAGATGTCAAGGCCAGGAGAGTCTGGGGAGGGTCCAGGCATAGGTTCCTTCCTCAGCGTGGAATCGAGTGTTTCTGGCGTTAGAACCCAGGATGTTCCCATTCAAAAGGCAGGCGAGAGGGAGGAGGGCAGACCAGTATGAAATGCTTTAAAAACGTGAGAATGAGGATCCGGGACTTCACGCCCAATACGATAGGGCCATAATCAGTCCTGGAGACCAGAGCAGTACCTTACCTTTAATAGAGTAGTTTCTTTGGAAGTGGTTTGAAGACTGACTGTTAACGAAGAGATTCAGGAAGCTGTAAGCCAAGTATAGCAGCCTGGGGATAGTGTAAACCACAAAACCAGCATTGGCACTACTCTGCCCACTGTGGTGAATTATATAAAAGTCCCAGGGGAGGGGCGCCTGGATGGCTCAGTCGGTTAAGCATCAACTTCAGCTCTGGTCATGATCTCACGGTTTTGAGTTCAAGTCCCACGTTGGGCTCTGTGCTGACAGCTCAGAGCCTGGCGCCTGCTCTAGATTCTATGTCTCCTCTCTGTCCCTCCCCCTGCTCGCTCTCTGTCTCTCTCTGTCTCTCTCAAAAATAAATAAACATTAAAAAAAAAAAAAAGTCCCAGGGGATAGGTGTTTTCTGGTCTCAAACATTTTCCAGGGCCCCACCTATATTGGGTTAGACGGGAAGTAAGCATCATATATTCTTGTTGATTTTGCTGGTTCGGGCTGGCTATGTTGTTGCAAATCACATTTCCTCTGTCAGTCACTGATTGTGTCTGCATGGTACGCCCACACAGCCAGCAGTGAATTCAGAAAGAAAAAAATCACACAAGATATTTGGCATAGTGTAATTGTAATAACCAATTATTTATGCCTCACCTGCTGAGTTGGCTTATATAACCAGTTGATTATACGCTTTTTGCTTTCTGCCTTTTTACATGTCATTTTGGCATCATTTAGATATAAGCAACATCTGTACAACATCAATATAATACTTCATTAGTTCTTAAGGCCGATAAAATGGAAAGCAGGGACATGAAATGGGCAGTTTTTCTCTATCCTACTGTTTACTGAGGTCAGTGAGGAAGTGTTCAGAGGTGACTGTCAGGGTAGGGCCGAGAACAGCTGTGAGGGACAATTCTAAGGAAGAAGCAGTGGCCTGACCCTAATCACTCCTAGAGGTTTCTGCTTTTGGTTGGGTCCTATTCTAAGAAAAGTGCTTTCTGGATGACCCTTTCATAATTTTCTTTTTGTATCTCCCTTCTTAAAGGATTATGATAGTAGAGATAAAAACAGAAGGACCAATTGGAAAAAAAAATTATGATAAACTATTTTATGGTTCTGTTGAATATGACTTTTGTGATTATTGTTATAAACCATGTTTAGAGAGTCCTTTAACATTTTCTTTTTAGAAAAGGGTCAGTAAAGGGGCACCTGAGTGGTTCAGTTGGTTAAGCATCCGACTCTTGATTTCGACTCAGGTCTGATCTCACAGTTCATGAGATCGAGCCCCTCATCAGACTCTGTGCTATCAGATTGTCTTTCTTGGGATTCTCTCTCTCCCTCTTTCTCTCTGCCCCTTCCTCACTTGTGCATGTGCTCTCTCTCTCTCTCTCTCTCAAAATAAATAAACTTAAAAAAAGAGAGAAAGTAGGTAAAATTGTTCATTCTCCTCTTACATAACTGGAAAACTCTTCTGTTGGTAAAAAAAAAAATATCTCTTCTTTTTAAATTCTCAAACCTATAATTTTAACCTAGAACTCTCATCTATTTTCTGATCTTGTTTTTCTAACCACTTAATGGTACATATACAATCCAACCTGTTCAAACCCAAATCCATCATTTTCTTTACTCACCTTAAGCTGGTTTCCTGGTTCCTATGCCTCCCAATTTCCTCATTTCTGTTCATTTGTCTACTATTGTAAATGGTTTGTAGGATAGATGCTGTAAATTTTGCCTCTTCTTTATTTCCTATATGTCAAATGTCACTGTGTATTGTGGTTCTATTCAGTCACTCATTTGTTCATTCAACAAGCATTCACTGGGCATCTATGACATGCCAGGCACTGGGAATACAATGATAAACAAGGTCCACTTTCTGTCCTCTAGGAGCCACTAATAAACAAGGGAGATGGAGATGTGAAATGTGATCACGTTGTGATGAGTGCCGAGTCAGCATTCTATACACTGATGAAAAATGAGGTAATCAAGTCTTCCTGGGGAAGGTGTCAAGGAGTGTTACCAGAAGAAGGGACATTAGGGCTGGATTTTGAAGGGTAAATAAGAATTTTCTAGGTGACTGGGAATTGAAAGGGGAAAAGGAAGGAGGACATTTAAAGTAGAAAAAAAAGTGTCTAGGATGTGCAGTGGCAGGGAGGCAAGAAACAGATGGGCAAGTAATTTGGTGTGGATAGATATTAGCACACTGGGTAGGAACAGGAGACAAGGGACATAGTAGTCAGGGACTGTATCAAGGGATGTTGTCTGTTACACGAACATTTTGATTTTATCTTATCGGCAACCTTTGAAGAGTTTTAAGCAACATGTATAATAATCATATTTGCATTTTACAAACATTATTTTGGGCGTTGGGAAGATGAATCACAGTTGTAAGGGATAGGAAACAGGGAGTCAGTTTAAAACTTACAGAAGAAGATGTTGATTTGGGCAGTGGGGGGTGGAGACGAATGGGGGAGTTAGGGGAATCATTTAGAAGGATAATTGACACAATCTGAGGACAGATCTCACATGGGGAATCAGTGAGGTTAGGAGATTGGATGGTTCCAAGACTTCTTCATTTGGGTATTATGTGAATGTTGAAATTATTAACAAGGAGGAAATATATAGGAAGTACAGTAAGATATTTTTGTTTTAATGAGGTTGTGGCAGATTAAAGCGCAGTTTTGGTAATGCTGAATTTGAAATACCTATAGAATATCTGCTGTATAGTGTACTTGGTGTAAAACTAAAATTTGGAGCCAGACTGCCTGAATTATATCCTTGCTGCATGATCTTAGGCAGATTATTTAACATCTTTATTAAAATGATGACAATCATAGTACTTGGCTCCTAGAGTTATTGTAAGGTTTATATGAGTTAACAAGTATAAAATGCTTACAGGTGTTCCTGTCACATGTTAAATGCATATCATCATTTGCTATTATTAGGTTTTTACAAGGTTATGTATTGATTGGTTGATGAAAATGTTGTGACCAGAAGCTCATAGGAACCTAACCTTGTATTTCCCCTAGGAACAATGGTTCAGTATTTGCTGCCAGTATTTGGTGTTTGTGGCAGCTTTATAGAACATAACTAATGGAAATAATGAGAACTGACTATATATAATATAGAAATATGGTGTGTATCATGTCGCAGAGGTAGTCATGTGCAGTAAGCACATCTCTGATGATAAATAATTAAGGACATTCCACAGTATCCCCTGCTCACCTAAATTCCCAACTTCAGCCTTTGGAACCCAGGGTGAAGAGATTAATGCATTTAACCTTTTATCTCTTTAATTTGTATTTTTGTCCTGATTGCTGGGAAGTTTA